GAGGTGAGGAGCCACCCTACATCCCGGCGCCAGCTGGAACGATTGCACCTAACCTTCAGGACGACGCTCCTGATGTGCACGGCAGCACTGCCACAGTTTGGCAACCTGAGGGTCACCAAGGAGGAGCTGGATGATTGGTATGCCTGGTTCTATGGGGAAGACATCGCCGGCAGGAAGCCTCCCCCGAGCGACACCACCTTGCTGTTCGCAGAGCGCAATGCATGGCGCAAGATCCACGAGATGGTGCACCAGGGCACCACTCTCTCCGATGCCCTCAAGAATATCAGGGGCGACTTCCTCTTCTGGCAACGGGAGGTCTATGAGCACCTCAACAGCGCGCCGGAGAAGGGAAGAGCAAGAGCAAGGCACCCAACATGTGGCAGACTCAGTGGGAGAAGCCCAAGAAGGGGGGGAAAGGTTCCTGGCCCTCGGGGCCGACCCGGTCCAAGCCGAAGGGCAAGGGCGGCAAGGGGAAGTCCCCCAACACCCCCTCGGTTCCATGGCCGGACCACTGGGCTTTCAAGAATCCCAAAGGGGTGGCGTACTGCAGAGATCATCACCTCCACAACAAGTGTTCGGGATCATGCGGCCGATCCCACAACTGCCCGGTCAGGAAGGATGGGTGGGTGTGCGATGCCCCCCCATCGAAGCATGTGCCACAGGCATGCCCACACCTTCCCAAGTGACAGGAGGCCACTCAGGGTGCCATAGGCCCCGTGGCTTCCTGGTCTCCGTTGGGACCACAGGCCACCAGTGCGAGAGTGCACACAGAGGGGGAGAGCCAACCCCACCAGAGCCACAGCGGAAGGCAGACAGAGCGGGGGAGGCCAGGACGGCCTCAGGTGGGAGGGGACTTCTCCAGGGTGCCACCGGCCCCGGAAGCCCCTCCACCGAGGAAGAGGAGCGGACCCAGCCAGGGCACTCCAGAAGGGCGGAAGCATCCCTTTCCCCCGCACCCACCGAGGCAGTGGGAAGACCCCCCAGAGAGACCCAGAGGTGAGGATCCGCCCGGCAAGGGGCGTTCCAAGGGCGGGAAGAACCGCCAGGGCAAGCAGCAAGCCCAGGGACAGATGACGGGAGGGTCAGACAAAGGACACACGGAATCCCTAGGGGGGGCAAGCCCCACCTTCCCATGGATGCAGGACATCCCGGAAAGACTGAGGCTCAGACTAAGGTGGACGCCACGTCCGGTGCCGGAGTCTCATCCTGCTGTACGCTGGGAAGGATGATGCGGGGGCCCTGGATGCTTACCTCCATGCCTACAACCCGGCCTTCTCGGAGTACATTTGGGCGGTGGACATCAGGCGAAAGGGTGGAGACCTTGGGCAGGACATGCTGGGAGATGAGCCTTACTCTACGATGTGCTCCATGGCCATGGCGGGCAAGGTCGCCTTTGTGGGGGGCGGCCCCAACTGCAGGCAGATGGTTCCCCAAACCGGGTGGCCCGCCGCCGGTGAGGGGCAGAGCGGAGCAGACCCTGTGGGGCTTAGAGGACCTGGAGCCCCAATGACAGCGTGCTCATGCTCCGACAGATGTACCTGACCTCGCTGGCCTACAAGGGGCTAGGTCAGCTAACGGTCCCGCAGGTGGGCTCCTCCTTCTTGGAGCACCCAATGGCCCCAATGGAGTGCAGCAAGAGCCCGAGCGCAGCGAGGTGCTCATCGATCTGGGTCACACGGGCCTACATTCAATGGGCGAACGCACTCCACCACTCCCTCATCAAGTTTGACGAGTGCCGCCTGGGCCAGGTGGTAGTGAAGTCCACGACATTGTCAACGGACCTTCCCCTTCACCATTGGCATGATCTGCGTGCAACCACGGGGCTCACCCCAGGGGGGAAAAGCTCAACTCCAGTGACCTCAGCCGGTACCCAGAGCAGATGATGCAGGGTCTCGCAGCGGCCATCCTTTGCAGAGCGGGACCCGTCCTGGAGGCGCTGAGGCCGGGGGGCACGGTGCCCCAGGCGAACCCAACGACCCCCCCGAGGCGGCAGAGGGAACCTTCTCCCAGCACGCCGGGGGACAACAAGCGCCAGTCCCGGAGGTTGAAGGCTGGCCAACAAGCGTTGGCGGGACTAACCTTGGGCTCACTTCCGGTCTCGGCCTCGGACAATCCGGAGGTCCGGACACCGACACAGAGGACTGGCGAGACGGACGAACTTCGGGGGGGAACTCTTTCCGCTGAGCCATGGGCACACCATGGCATGGAAATCTCGGATCGGCCCACCATCCTGCCGATCACGCACGACCCAAATCTCTCCGACAAGGTCATGTACCTCCAGATGGCCTTCAAGCAAGGGACGGAGGGGGAAAGCCCTCGTTGGGACGGCTGGCCCCATGGACTCGGCCACTGTCCAAAGCAGCAGCGATGGGGGCCAAGATCTGTGTCCTCACTTCGCCATGGGGGGACAAGCTCCAGGAGTCGCTCTCGTTGGGGGACGGGTCACATCCCTTCCCGGAGGACCTGCTGGAGGATATCAGGGAGATTCTCAGGCCGACCAGCGTGGCGCTGAACATTCAGGACCCCGACCACCAGTTTCCCCGGGATCTGGAGCAAGGGGTCACGGACCCACCCCTGACCTCGCCGGGCATCTGGCCACTCAAGAAGGAGCTGAAAGAGGAGCCGGAGTTGCAGGAACTCCCGCACCCAACAGGCAGGGGTAACCCCTCGGCGGATCACTTCAGCGAGCTCATCCGGGGCACATTCCTGGAGGAGGTCCCCATGGGCATGGTAGAGGGCCCCTTCACTAAGGTGGAGGCAGCATCGCGCTGTGGCTGCGAAATTGTAGCCCGCATCGACGAGGGGGACAAGATCCGCACCATCTACGATGGCTCGGTGGGCGGGGCCAATGACACCATCCGGAACCAGACGGTGGAAAGGACGACGGCTCCGACTGTGCTGGATGGGGTACAAGCTCTTCATTGCCTACATGCGGCAGCTGCGGAGGGACCCCCCTCTCAGGGTGTCTCTGGTCCCGAGAGGGAGGTCGTCAAACCTCCACCTGGGGGCTGGCTATGGCCGGAGCCGGGCACCAGGTGGGTGCTGCTGAAGGCGGACGTCACCAAGGCCCACCGGAGAGTGAAGGTCCTCAGGAAGGACTGGCGGTTCCAGGTGGCCTCACTGGGGGAAGAATGGTGGGTGAACAAGGTAGGCACATATGGCATGGCCAGTGCCCAATCCTACTGGGGACGCCTGGCAGCCCTTCTACTCAGGGTCCTCTACGCACTTTTCCCTCAAGTGGATTGGAACTTCGTCTTTGTCGATGACTTCCTGTGGCTGCTTCGAAGCGAGGGGGCAGTAAACTTGGCGGTGGCGCTGCTGGCAACACTCCTGGCCTTGGGCACCCCGCTTAGCTGGAAGAAGACGCATTTGGCGGAGGTTAACACGTGGCTGGGTTTCGTGGTCCACCCGAACATCCCGCAGGTTCTCATGGCCGCCAACAAACACATCCTGGTTATGGAGGTTTTGCAGACCATGGTGGAAGGGCAGGCGATGCACTCAAAGGACATCGAGAAGGCCCTGGGTCGCATCCAATGGGCGACTGCTGCATGTCCGCTGGCGAAGTCGATGCTCCAGCCACTTTGGGCCTGGAAGATGGCCACCACCACGGTGGGGAAACCCCCCAAGGTGGTCAGGATGCTGGCGTTCATGCTGCGGTTCCTCTTCAACACGCCTTCGTCCAGTACTCCCCTTACTTGCCGAAGTCCTCTTGGTGGGGTTGCAGCGATGCTAGCGCCTCGGACGAAGGACTGGCATTTGTGGGAGGTTGGTGCTCCAACAAAGTGGAGCCGGAAAAGAAGGAGGTGTACTGGTTCCACGAGCAGATCCACGTGGAAGAGTACCCTTGGGCATTCAAGAATGGGGATCCCAAGCGGAGGATTGCGGCTCTGGAAATGCTGGGCACGCTCTTCCTCTGTAACATGATCCTCACGCACCAAGGCCCTCTGTCCTCCCGGGTCCGACTCCCGGTGGGCAGTGACAATCAGGGCAACGTCATGGCGATGCTCAACCTTGGATCCAAGAAGCCCTACACGGCGGCGATCCTGATGGAGCTGGTCTTCCTGCTCCACACCCATGGCTGCTCGCTGGCGGCCAACCACGTGCCCCGAGAATTCAATCAATGGGCTGATGAGCTGACGCACCCAGATTTCTCTGGGTTCGACCCTTTGCACAGGGTCCCCAAACAGGAACTCTGCGAGGAGTTCGTTTTTCTCCCGCGTCTCCTGAATGGAGATGCATTTGATCTTAGCGTGGGCCCACCCATGCTCCCGTGACCGGAGCCGGTGGGTGACTCACTTCCCCTGGTGGCAGACCCCCCTGTGGCCTGGGTGCCACGGGCCCCGGCTCAGGGGCGGGCGCTATCAGTCTGCACACCCGTTCTTCAGTTTTTGAGATTGTGAGTTGGGTGGCCCATGGGGCCCACCCAGCCTTTGACATCTGACAGGGGAAGATGAGTCCCTGGCACCAACACACTGCTCGGATAAAAGAGTTATCGCGTGCTTGTGTGTGGTGCCGTTTGGTTAGCTTGCATACACTTCCGGGTCTTTGGTGTTTGGGGTCCTCAAAAATGACTCAAGTGGGTTAAGTTTTTGCTTGGCTGGCCCAAGGCCAGATTTGATTTTTTTTTTCGATTCTCCAGGCTTCGGACTGTAGTCCCATGGGTGTGTTTGGAGTTGGTACCAAGGTTCTTCAGCTTTCCCTCCCTCCAACTAACGTGGCACTTGTGGGGAGGTGCTTGGAAGATCAATTTCCTTTTGGTGTGGACCCTGTCAGGTGCCATGTTAGTGGGAAGGAGGGAAAATCAACACCCAGTCGTTCTGATTGTTCCGTTTCGCCACTATAGACTTGCAACCAAGGGAAACCAGCCATGGTACAGTTTAGAGGCAAGGATCCCTTTTTGGGTGACCTAGGTACTATAGCTAAGCGCTGGGCGACAAAGAAAGCCACTTGTGGGACCCGTAGCGCCTTCTTCTTAACCATTGGATCTCGATGCTCGAGAGGTCCAGGAGATGCGTCTCAAGGAGCAGAAGGATGCCCTCCTCGGCAAGTTGGCCTGGCCCCAATCTGATCGCGCAGACACGTCTCATGCTGACACGTGGGTTGCGAGCCCCTTTTTAAAGGCTGATCTGGGCTGCTCAAAGGTAATCCTTGCGTCCCCTTTGTAGTGGCTTCTCTATAGGGATTCTGCATTAGGATTGGCCAACCCTCCATTCAGAACAGCCCAGCTGATTGTATCTGTCCGTATATGAACCCATCGTCCCGGGGAGACCATGGGAGACCTTTTGGAAGCAAAGGGCAGATCGATCACCATTTGCTCGGGGGCAAGACCATTGCTTTAACAGAAGGGCATGGGTTGCTTACATGCCTCGTGTTCCCAAGTGCAAGCGACTCCAGGCAAGAAAGCCTTTTAACCATGTCTCCTCCGGAAAACTGAAGGGACCACCTTTTTCAGGGGCTGGCGCTCCTGCGAATTTTTGGGGAGCGTTCTGTGCAACGCTGTGGCTCAAACAAATCGGACCACTTCTGGGCCCCTTGGATGGAAACAAAGACCAACAACTGCGTAACCCCAGGTCTTCAATTTTGAGCCATGCGCATTCCAAAGAACACTGTCAGTGGGTTGCAACCTGCCTTTGCCGAACGCTGAGCACGACCCCTGATAAGCCCTCACACGGGTTGTCTTCGAACAAGGTCCCCACTAAACAGGACCTTGATGAAATTGCGGGGTTGGTATGGATCACAGCGTCAGCAATCACGAAGCCAAGTTGATTGCGTACCATGAACCCATCGCCCTTGTGGAGCCCTTGGGCTTGTTTCTCGTAAAGCCAGAAACGGTGAATTCACCAATGAATGAAACACAACCCCCCCAAGCGGCAGGGGGGGCTAAAATGATAGTGGGGTGCTGTTGAAAACCACTATTAAAATCCGTCGGCTCCGCGGTCTAACATTCAAATACGCATGGGTCCTACCTGAGAGTATGGTCATACCAGATAAACGCTGTCACCAAACGAGAAGTGAGGTCAACCCAAAGGGTCGTACGACGGGTTCATGAGTGTATAGGCTTTCCTTGTTTGCTGAGAGCTTTTTTTCCCTGAGGCGGAACACTATGCGCGCCAGAAGCAGGGCTCTCGGGCTCAGTGCCCTGAGGGGAAACCAACAAAATGGAAGGCTGCTCTGTCAGCCCATGTTTAGCGGGAAGTGTAATCTTGTTTATGGCTTTTGCCCAATTGCCAATGGTCATCCCACGTAAAGGACATTTTGATCAAGCCCAAAGGATACCCTGCCAGCACCCTGTGCAGCCACCGGAGAACAAGGATGCTTTCGGATGTTTGGATCAGGAAACCGTTGTGGGTGCCGGACCACCTTTGCTTGTTGGCTATCCGGATATTCTTGAAACAACACCACTGGCACGCAAGGGCATGGGTACCGCTTTCGTGGCAGATCACATGGAAAGTGCTGGAAGGCTATGCATCTCTCACACCAGAACGAACTCATCTAGGGATCAAACGAGCTTACCCGTGATAAAGGTCTTTTGCCGGGTGTGGGAATTGCTGTCATTGGGGCAGATCTGATGCATTTGTCCGTATGAACCCAGAGGGCCCCGTTGACACGTGGGCGTACCTTCCATGAAAGCAGGCTGGTTAGGTGTCTGGTGTTTGAAAGAGTCCACACTCTTTGGCTAGCTGTTTGCTTGTCTGTCTTTCTTTTTTTCTTGAAACAAATCAGGGACCCCTTAACAATAACTACAGCCTTTAGGTTGGAGGGCAGCTTTAACTGGTTTGCTAGAAAAAAGGATCTGTCTCTTGTGGGTACTCGTCCCCTTTTTGGTTGAAAACTTGGTTTTCCGCCATTTTGGCAGGTCTAAACAAGACACACACACACACACAGACAGACACACCAGGCGCTGCACCCCACCAAGGTTCTATTGTCAGGCAACCCGTAGCTAGTTGTTTGGGGACTTGAACCCCTCTTTTGTAGAGGGCTAATTGGAAGTCCTTACCAATCCAAACCACCAGATTTAGAGGATCGGACATTATTTTTCTGGAATTAACCCCAGGCGAGGGCTTTCAGCCGAACATTTGCGTCGATGTCGAATCCGTCAGGTTGGAGATGCCCATGGGCCTCAACGCCGCCTCAGAAGCTCGGCGCTATGCCCTCCAATTGGCCCATAGGTTTTGTGTTTTTTGTTTTTCCTTTTGGGAACCCTTGGTACCGGTAACTTCATAAAGGCTACGGGGAAACCAGCAGGAAAAACCTCTCAGTTGCAACCAAAACAAATCACCCGGATCTGACATTTGGGTTTCCTCTTGCAACCATTGGCAGTGGCCGATTTTGAGGCGATCGATCGATATAACATTTCCAGTTGAGGGGCCAGTGAGAAACCCCGTTTGGGCGGGTTTGGGCGGGTTCAAAGGCGGAAAGATTTTGGTGGGCCCCTTGGTGATGTGATAAGGGGAAATTTGTCTTGCACCCTTAAAGTTCAGTCGAAGTTGTTTGTCTGTGGTCCATTTAGGAGACCACCCCAGTGAATCCCTATCAGCTCAGCGGCCAGTTGTATTGTTTTTTAATGGGTGGGACACCTCTTTCTTCACACTCAGTGCTTCCAGTTGCCGCTATAGTATTGGTAACCGGGGATCCTTCTGCATGTGAGGTACCTTTCCCGGGACAGGACTCCCACTGTGGACAACGAAATCCGTTCGCACCACTTTGAAACCGTGCTTGAAAGCATAACTTTTCTTATTTACAGGGAATCTATTAAACCCCCCCCCAAAAACAAACGTGCTTGAAAGCAGAACCTTTGTTATTTACAGGGAGTCGGAAAAAAAAGGGAGGGTCCCTTTGGTGCGAAATGGATTTCGCAGCCATCCACCGTATGTGTTTCCACCTAAAGCCAGCTCGCCGAGTCTTTGGTTCGGAGGCGAGGCGCACTGCCAGGACTTGGTTCCGACCACGGGAGCTGCACAAATTGTTTGAGTTGGTCCTCAATTTGTGGCTTTGAAAGGAATCAAGCAGAAAACGCATCTTTTGTGCTTTTAAAGGGAAACTAGGAGGAACAAAAACCGTTGCGCAATGCATTTCGAGGTCTAACAGACAAGCCCAATTCAATTTCGGACTTGTTTGGTATTTCGAGGGACGCCCGCAGAAAGCCAAGTACGGGCCAATTGAGAAACAAAAGCTGAGGGCAGCGGTCCAGATCAAAAAAGGGTAGAGTCTCCATGACCCTTTGACAATGGTGTCATGACCCCTTTCTTTTGGGGAATGACCCCACTGTTTAAGGGTCATGGAGACTCTAGGTACACGGCATTCCCTCCATTGCACCCAAGGGGGCCCAGGGCCTAAGGGAACCGGAAGGATGCCTCTCATGATTGATCCATCAGGTAGAGCAGCTGAAGCAACACTGGGACACGGTGAGAAAGGACAGGGGCCGAGAAGATGCACTTCTTCAGTGCGCCTGTCTTAGTTCGCTTTGGGCTTCGCTCAAAAGCAGAGGTGTAGAAAAGACTTTCCACTTCTTGGGTTTAGAGCACTCCGTTGGCGCGATTTGCCCGGGTGAACCCGCACCAGGGCCCCTGAGAAAAGGCCCCCGCATGCAGGATTGACCAACGCGTTTGCGAAAGCAAGAGAGAGTCTCGACTAAAGGACACAGCGTGACACAGAGGGGGAAGTTGACTTTTGTCAACCAGTTTAAGTAACTACATGTATGTTAGTCATGGATCAACGTTTGAGTGATGTGAAGTAGTTTTGGACGTTGATTGACCCAGCCATGCGAGGACGAGCTACTGTGTAGGTGGTTTATCCAAATTTTATTGGCATGCATCCAATCGATGCGGATCGGTTACATGTCAGGCCTTCCAGCAACACATGGCTGTGGGTCAAAACCAATGGGATCCCATTTTGGGGTAGGTGAATTCACCACCCATTTTGGAACCTATTTTAGTGAGGATTGGGATGTTCACTGGGGGTACGATTTGGATTTTGACCCATGGCCACATGTGTATACTACCTGGACAGGTTTATACCGATCTTACTCGCTAAAGTAAGCTCACGCATGAGGGCCCATTAGACACTTGTGGCAAGACAACACGTTCACAATCATTACATCATGTATGGGTGTGTGCCATGGTGTTGTTGGATCCCTCTATTTCGGCACTTACCCGTGTGCGCTTGCTTTCCTTCGAGGTATTGTTTAGCCTTTTTGGCTCCTCATGCCATAGGCACAAGCGGCAATGACAGATATGGGGTCCCCTTGTTGGGGGAGTTGTTCCTTTTCTGGGGAGTTGTTGGTACCCGCTTTGGGGCACAGAAAAGACAACAAGTTGCGGATCCCATATGTGAGACAAACCTATTCTTCGATCATATCCACCCCTAAACCACACCCAGGGGAAAGCAGGGTACATATCCTTCATATAGCTATCATATATATATATATATAAGCTGTATATCTTATGAACTCCTGGTGGTGGTTTGGGGCTGGAAGACTTCGAAGATTTCGGGCGAGGTTCGGAAGGGAGAGTCGCTTTCGTCCGAACCGCCAGGTAATCCGTGAGGGTGTACAGACCCATATCCCGCGAAAAAGACGCCCGCATAGACTCGCCTTTGGCATTTGCTCATTGGCCTGGGCGAGGGGCTTGACGTGTCTCTGCCAAAACTTGGGGTCGTCCAAGTGATGGCGGGGTTGCTTTGCCAGAGGCTCAAGGGATATATAAAGTGGCTTAATTGTATTTAGCCAACGCACAGCCCGGACAGACTGCTCCTTCGCTGTGCATACTGGCTTGCAGGGCCAAATCAGCTTCTTACTGTAAGTCCTTTTCCCGGGTTGTTCCATCGAATTCCACAGGTAGGTATAACAACATGGAGCAACCGTAGGTGGTGGATCCAAATTTGCCTAAGGAAGACGATCTCCTCTCTTTATGATTGGATTCGGCATGGAGCTCGCTGAGGAATCGGCGTGCAAGATTTGGGAGTTTTTTTTCAGGGTTGCCCAGGTCCTTAACGGTTGACCAGCATAAATTCGAATTTTTGGGTGTGTCTTGAATTCCTTGGTGCCAACATGGCTTTGGTGAGACCCTTGGGTTTCCCTTGGACGCCACCCGTTTTTTTTCTTCCCCCTCTTTTTTTCGCGCCAACTCAAAAGACGAGCCCATTTGCGAATGGCATGAACTTTTGGCTCCAAGTTTCATAGGTTCCAATAAAGTGAAGTCTTCATTCAAGCACAGCGAGAACCCCTCAAAATGGCCATGCCACCTCAAGTTTCAAAAAAGGCAGGGCTTGCGCCTATTCGGTCGTACTGAAGTCCTGCGCCACTTTGAAGCCAGGGCTGAAACCCTGTTTGTTGATCTTTTACAGCGGGAATCAGCAATCATTCCCGCGTTTCTGACAGCCAACGAACGGATTTTCGGTCCATCCAGCATCATATTTCCGCCACTCGTGCAGCTTCCATGTCGGGTCGCCGGGCGTTGCTTTGCGCTGCCTGGGTGCTGTGGGGTTCTCAACTTGGCTTCCTCAGCAGCTTTCGAAGCGCGCGCCCGGTTTGCCGGACCTTGCGGCGTGCTCGTGATCCGCGGCTGACCCCTGCCAGCCTGCTGCTGGACACATGGCGACTTGCGACTTGCGACTTTTCGCTTTCTTGGGAAATCATTTCCCCCCTACCTCGATCCCCAGTTGCCTTTATTTTCCAGCTACTTTGACCAACTTATTGGCTACTAGTGGGTAAAGTGGCTGGGAAAAAGTGGCTACGGGGTTCCAGGTACAACCTATTGTCATGTTTGGGAAATCAGGCCTCATTGCTGCTTTTGCAAGTTGTTTGGTTTTGTTTTCTGACTCATTTTCCCCGAGCCGAAAAACCTCAATTCCGGGGCCGGCCTAGGAAGAGGAGGACGGGCGCGAGGACGTGAAGCTGAGGAATGACCTGGAGGAGCTGACGATGGACTCGATGGACATGGTGGAGGACTGGGTTGTTGGTATCAGCTGGAAGCTTTGGCTAGGTGCCCCAGTGCCCTTTTACTTTTACCGTTTCTTTTTTTGGGGAGGGTTCCCCTACTAAAACAGACTACAGAAAAAAAGGGCACCCTTATTCTAACCTCTCTACTGGAGGACCTAGACTGGGTTTTGGTATCACCCTAAGGCTCCCGATGGATTTTGGAGCCTCAAAATGGCTGGTGTTTTGAGGGTTTCGGGGGGGGGGGGGGGGGTCGGGGTTTTTGGATTGGAGGGTCCAGGGGTCTGCAGCCTTAGGGCAGCCGGAAGCTTTGGGGTCAATAGGCCCAAATAGGTTCAGGTTCAAGAGGAGGTTTCCGGGGCTGTTGGGGATATTACAGTAGCTGGGTTTATTTGTTTTATTTGGTTTGATTGCTGGCGCGATAAGTAGGAGGTGGAGGGAATGAACCCAGGCTTTGGTCCCCTTAAAGGAAACAAGGGATGGTTTATAGGGGTCATTCCCTCAGTCTGCCGAGCACCAGCAAGGTTGATTATCAGGAAGCTGTGGGGTCAATAGGCCCAGATACGCTCGTTCGGGGTGGTTTGGGGCAGCTTTCAGGAGGGTTTCGGAGTTCCGGGGGTTCGAGGGCTGGATACCACTTTCTTTATGGCTATGGCTATTTGGTCTCTGATCTTTGGACTTCAACTGGTTGGTTGAGTTCTCAGTTGCTAGCGGTGTGTTCTGTTGCTGATTTTTGTTTTTCAGAAATATAAATTCATCACGGCGCGGATTAATGTCGGCTCATGTAGGCAAACGAGGTAACCCTCTGTTTGCGGTTTGCATTTGTATTGTGGATTGTTCCAGGCAGTTGAACCCCTGGTTCTTGTATAGAGGGGAAATGGAAAACAGAAAACAGAAGACCCCAAGCTCTAAAGCGCCAAACCCAACTGGAGGATGTTTTTAATGAAATGACCTGGACAAGCTATAAGCTCAAGTTCTCAGGGGCCCAACGAATAAACCTGGACGACTTTGGGTCTGTTTTCCCGGAGGGTACCCCTTTTATTGTGGTTTGAAAGGGAAAACCACCTTTGTGGGAGGTCCGGCAAACAAAGAACACACCTATGTGGGGCATCCTTATGAACAGCAGTGTTCCCTATTCCACCAAGTTGATTTTCGGGGTCGACACTGTTTGCAAGTCACCAAAGAATCCCCAGGTTCGGCGACTATGAATCCAGACTACCAAACCAAGAGTAACCCTCGCGCGAAAAATGCTTCTCCATACATCTATATATATATATACAAGGACTTCAGAACATTCCTGAATGGATTCCCTTCCAAGGGATTCCCCCCATTTTCCGACTTCCGCTGTGGACAACTTCTTTCGCTTGGTTTTTGTACTTTCTCTGCTGCTATCTTTCTTCTCAGGTTGATCTCCCAGTTTAAGTAATGCAGACATAGCAACGGCGTCCGGGAGTTGCGGCGGCCCACTTTTGTTGCTCCGAGCCTGGTGATCACAAGGTCGGAAGTCGATTCCTTCGCGTCCCAAGGACCGTCTCATGGAAATCGCAGGTCATGGGATCCGAAAGAGCGATCCGCTGTCCTTTTGATCGGCGAGTTTGGACAGACATAGATGGGTTCCGCTTTTTGTTGATAGGTTGTGTGCCCCATTTATGCGCAAACCCCATCTAGTTGTGCACAAGGTCACCCCTGGCGAGTTCAACTTCTTGAAGTTTAGTAAGACATCCTCAAACCTATTCTGACTCCAGATGGTAGTTCGGGAACCCGGGAGCCAAACTTGCTTTTGGGAGTTTATCAACAGAAGGGACCAGGGTTTCTATCAGTGACTATTGTCAGCTTGTTTCCCATTAAAGGAACCTGAAAGGCATCCACAAACACCACACCTTTTTCAAGACCCAGTCATGCATTTTATTTGAAGGGGCTCGGTCGAGGACGATGACGACCGCGACGCGGATGCCCGAAGGCGCCCGCGAAGCGCCCGGCCCCGTCGGCCCGGTGGCCGGGTGGAGATGGATCCCAAGTTCAAGCGGGCGGGGTACTTTGATCGCCGGGATCTGTCCAGGCTGAACGCGTCTTGGCTGCAAGCGGAGCCTCTAGACACAATGCCAAAGTCTCTTCTAGTTGCTTAAGAAGATACAGATCATCTATCAGGAAGTTTGAGTGTGTGTGTGTGTTTGTCCCTGTGTGTGTCTCTCTGTGTTTTTCTGTGTCTCTCTCTCTCTCTGTGTCTGTGTCTGTGTCTGTGTGTCTGTGTGTCTGTGTGTCTGTGTGTCTGTGTGTCTGTGTGTCTGTGTGTCTGTGTGTCTGTGTGTCTGTGTGTCTGTGTCTGTGTGTCTGTGTGTCTGTGTGTCTGTGTGTCTGTGTGTCTGTGTGTCTGTGTGTCTGTGTGTCTGTGTGTCTGTGTGTGTGTCTGTGTGTCTGTGTGTCTGTGTGTCTGTGTGTCTGTGTGTCTGTGTGTCTGTGTGTGTCTGTCTGTGTCTGTGTGTCTGTGTGTCTGTGTGTCTGTGTGTCTGTGTGTCTGTGTGTCTGTGTGTCTGTGTGTCTGTGTGTCTGTGTGTCTGTGTGTCTGTGTGTCTGTGTGTCTGTGTGTCTGTGTGTCTGTGTGTCTGTGTGTCTGTGTGTCTGTGTGTCTGTGTGTCTGTGTGTCTGTGTGTCTGTGTGTCTGTGTGTCTGTGTGTCTGTGTGTCTGTGTGTCTGTGTGTCTGTGTGTCTGTGTGTCTGTGTGTCTGTGTGTCTGTGTGTCTGTGTGTCTGTGTGTCTGTGTGTCTGTGTGTCTGTGTGTCTGTGTGTCTGTGTGTCTGTGTGTCTGTGTGTCTGTGTGTCTGTGTGTCTGTGTGTCTGTGTGTCTGTGTCTGTGTGTCTGTGTGTCTGTGTGTCTGTGTGTCTGTGTGTCTGTGTGTCTGTGTGTCTGTGTGTCTGTGTGTCTGTGTGTCTGTGTGTCTGTGTGTCTGTGTGTCTGTGTGTCTGTGTGTCTGTGTGTCTGTGTGTCTGTGTGTCTGAGTGTCTGTGTGTCTGTGTGTCTGTGTGTCTGTGTGTCTGTGTGTCTGTGTGTCTGTGTGTCTGTGTGTCTGTGTGTCTGTGTGTCTGTGTGTCTGTGTGTCTGTGTGTCTGTGTGTCTGTGTGTCTGTGTGTCTGTGTGTCTGTGTGTCTGTGTGTCTGTGTGTCTGTGTGTCTGTGTGTCTGTGTGTCTGTGTGTCTGTGTGTCTGTGTGTCTGTGTGTCTGTGTGTCTGTGTGTCTGTGTGTCTGTGTGTCTGTGTGTCTGTGTCTGTGTGTCTGTGTGTCTGTGTGTCTGTGTGTCTGTGTGTCTGTGTGTCTGTGTGTCTGTGTGTCTGTGTGTCTGTGTGTCTGTGTGTCTGTGTGTCTGTGTGTCTGTGTGTCTGTGTGTCTGTGTGTCTGTGTGTCTGTGTGTCTGTGTGTCTGTGTGTCTGTGTGTCTGTGTGTCTGTGTGTCTGTGTGTCTGTGTGTCTGTGTGTCTGTGTGTCTGTGTGTCTGTGTGTCTGTGTGTCTGTGTGTCTGTGTGTCTGTGTGTCTGTGTGTGTGTCTGTGTGTCTGAGTGTCTGTGTGTCTGTGTGTCTGTGTGTCTGTGTGTCTGTGTGTCTGTGTGTCTGTGTGTCTGTGTGTCTGTATGTCTGTGTGTCTGTGTGTCTGTGTGTCTGTGTGTCTGTGTGTCTGTGTGTGTCTGTGTCTGTGTCTGTGTGTCTGTGTGTCTCTGTGTGTCTGTGTGTCTGTGTGTCTGTGTCTGTGTCTGTCTGTGTGTCTGTGTGTGTGTCTGTGTGTCTGTGTGTCTGTGTGTCTGTGTCTGTGTGTCTGTGTGTCTGTGTCTGTGTGTCTGTGTGTCTGTGTGTCTGTGTGTCTGTGTCTGTGTCTGTCTGTGTGTCTGTGTGTCTGTGTGTCTGTGTGTCTGTGTGTCTGTGTGTCTGTGTGTCTGTGTGTCTGTGTGTCTGTGTGTCTGTGTGTCTGTGTCTGTGTGTCTGTGTGTCTGTGTGTCTGTGTGTCTGTGTGTCTGTGTGTCTGTGTGTCTGTGTGTCTGTGTGTCTGTGTGTCTGTGTCTGTGTGTCTGTGTGTCTGTGTGTCTGTGTGTCTGTGTGTCTGTGTGTCTGTGTGTCTGTGTGTCTGTGTGTCTGTGTGTCTGTGTGTCTGTGTGTCTGTGTGTCTGTGTGTCTGTGTGTCTGTGTGTCTGTCTGTGTGTCTGTGTGTCTGTGTGTCTGTGTGTCTGTGTGTCTGTGTGTCTGTGTGTCTGTGTGTCTGTGTGTCTGTGTGTCTGTGTCTGTGTGTCTGTGTGTCTGTGTGTCTGTGTGTGTTTGTGTCTGTGTGTCTGTGTGTCTGTGTGTCTGTGTGTGTGTGTGTGTGTCTGTGTGTCTGTGTGTCTGTTTGTGTCTGTGTGTGTCTGTGTGTGTCTGTGTGTGTCTGTTTGTGTCTGTGTGTCTGTGTCTGTGTCTGTGTGTCTGTGTGTGTGGGGGGTGTAGTGTGGGGGGTGTAGATTTTTTGAGGGTACCCTCTTAAGCTGTTGGTAACGGAAAACCAAAGGAACATCGTGTTCGTTTGGTGGACCCAGATCTAGCGCATGTGGATGCAGGGTTGGCTTTTTACGACTACCGTATTGGCAAATGCATGTTTTCCCTCAAACTGATTCCATCGAGTTACGCAGCCCCAACTTGGCCAAACAAGACTCCAACGGACGAGCCTGCTGTCTAGTGCATGAAACCATTCACCATTCCAGTGTCCCACAGCCTTCCTTTTCAACCACGTCCAAAAGGGTGTGTCTCGAAATATGGGGACCCCAAGATGGCTTCGGTTTTACTTTTGGTTCCCTAAAACCACCAACAGAAGGGGGTACCAACTCAAACACGGACACACCCAGAAGCCCAACTGGACCCAAAAAGCGGTGATTGAATGGGGGGGTTGCCTCCTTGCTGGCGTTGTTGAGTACCGACTCCAGGAGAGATAGCGGGGTATGTCGGTGCAAACTATATTCAGACGTGTGTGTGTGTGTGTGTTTTGTCCAAGTTCGGAATGCCCTCCAAACTGCCACCAGAATCCTTATTGCAAATGACGTGACGTCCAATCATGAAACTCATACCCGTTTGATTCCCACCCCTTAAACATGGAATTGGTGGAGGGAGGTGCCCTTGAAATTCCGTTTATGGTTTCATTCTCCCTTTTGTGGGGAATACTAGACACATGGAATTGGGGATCCCTCACCCCCCTCCCCCTCAAGGTGGGGGCCATTTGCCTTAGCCAGTGGATGTTCTCTTGGTTGTTTGCAGTGGTTCCCTTGCCTGGGAAATAGGTTCCCTTGCCTGGTTCGCTTGGTGTTTCACAGGTCGCTTCTCCTGGCGAGGCGTGCCCAGCGTTCCCCACAGCCCAAGTTGGACAAAACGTTTGGCAGTTGCAAACAGTTAGGACTTTGGACCAATCCCCTGCTCAAATTTTAGAGCCAGAAAAAGTGCAGGTTTGAGTCTTTTCTGGCCAGGCCTAGATTTTCTCAGTTGCCCAAAGCCAGTCGACTTTCTAGTCATGGCCCCAAAAGGTGATCACCTTTTATTTCCAGGGTCCCGTTCAGCGGCAAGCGAGTTTTGGCCTCAATGTTTTGGCCAATCCACTCAGCTGCCTGCCGCTTGATTTCTATGTCCAAAATAAACTTGGTGGTGCTTAGCAGGAACTGAGGGAATGACCCCTATAAACCATCCCTTGTGGTTTCCTTGAAGGGGACCCCCAGGTTCATTCCCACCTTCCCGACTGAGCACCAGCAAGTCAAGTCGTTGGCAGTTGAAGTGCCGTTTCTTAGGCCTCCGACTTCGACAAAAAAGGGAAGCTGCAGGGATTGTCAGTGGACGAGTTGGAGGCGGTGCGCAACGGGTGAAGTTGTGTGAATGCTTTAAACGGCCCTTAGCTTGGTGGCTCCCAGCCATGCGGTTCCTCAGTTGGCTTATTGGTTTGGTTCTCCATATCTAAGCCAATAAAGTTATCTTTAGCAGGGGATGTGAGGGCAGCCCAGTTCGAACCTCCTTTGGGTTTGCCTTTAAACACGCCAGATTCCAGGTGTTTAAACCAAGTTTGCCCACCTATAGGCGAGCAAAAAGCCGGTCGTTTACCCGATGGGGTGTGCACAGAAAGGAACAAAGACGGTTGATGGTTTAATGCCGACCCCGGATTAACCTGGTGCATTTGTTTGGGGAGTGTTGCCTCCCAAGGCTTATCGATGGGTTCTGATTTTCTGATTGGATACTTGTATGGATTGGCCCAGGAATGTATGCTCCACCCTGGATTTGCATGGCCTTTGAAGGGATCCAATCCATTTTTTCTTGGTCTCCAGTCCTCACTTCATGGGCTTGAAGCTGAACCTGTCCACCAAAGCCCAAGGGAGCTACCAGGAAACATTGCTGGTTGCCTGGTACTGCCATTTAATCAAAAGATGCTGTGTATGTTCAAGGGATACTTCTTTTAGTAGATTTTAGTACAACATTGGCCAGGAGCAAACACTTACCTGGGTATTTCAAGGGATTGTCACAAATTCCCTGGGAGGATGTTTACCTGGGTCTTCTAACTGTGTCTCAAAATAGGGGAACCCCAACAAAAAAGCACTTGAGACTGGTTCCAAATAGGGGAACCCCAATGAAAACCCACCTGAGAATGGACCAAGAAAAGTTACACCCCCAACAACAAAAGCTACCTGAGAATGGTACCAAATAGGGGAACCCCAATCAAAAACCACCTCAGAAAGCACCAAGTCCACCCATAGGCGCCTGCGCAGTGCACCCTCCAAAAAGGACGCACCCATCCGGAACTGCAGGAGCGCCTGGAGCGCCGGTTCCAGGCGTCCAAGCCACAACCGCGCGAGGAGCCCAAAAAAGCGGAGGCGGACGAGGACGGACTGTGCAGATGTTGACCCCATAGGAATTTCTGCTAGCCAGTTGATTCATAGGGGGATGCTTTTTGGCCCCTCCAAAAGTGGTCTGATTCCCTGCAGCTCGAATTTCCTGGAATATGTATTTTATGTCGTTTTGTTTTTTCGTTTTTGTGACCTGGCGACCCCCCGCTTTCTCCCCCGCTCGGGTTGAGGAGGAAGGCTTCGACCTCTTCTGGCGTCCCGGGCGCCGCCCGCTGCGCCGCGCCCAGGCGCGGCCGCGCTCGGCCAATGCGAGGGCAGCCCTGCCCGCGAAGCCGGTGAAGCCCAAGACTCGCCCAAAGAGTCGGCGCCTCAGTCCACACCTCACCTCCCCTTTCTCTCCCGTTTCTTTTTTGGTTGGGAGGGGGAATCATTCCCCTACTATAGACAAAAAGGAAAAAAGTGGGTATCCTTATATCATCCTCTCTGGAGAACCTAGTCACTTCCTGAGTTTCGGGGCGCGGACGTTTTTGTCTTTTGGTTTTAGTTTAGTGGTAAATACCAGAAATGGACTCTTTTTTGCCAATCAGGAAGTGAGAGAGCCAGAAAACCACACAAACTATGCAAAGAGAGGGGCCCTATATATGAGAAGGAAGGACAGAAACAACTATGAGAAGGAAAGGAAGAAACAAAAGAAATGAGAAGCAAATAAACAACTATGAGAAGAGAGGGGCCTTAATGAATCAGACCTGCAGAGCTGCCCTGTGCTTGTTTCTTTGGAGGGATGTGTTCCTTTAATTGGGATAATGGTTGTCTTTTTCTGTCTGGTTTGTTCACATTCGTTTGGAAGTTTGGTTCTGGCGCCTCGTGTTTTGTTCACCGGTGATTGCGCGCTCGCAAGTTTCAAGGCATTGACGGCTGGCTCTTGAACAAGGACCGAAGACTCTTCGACATGAGTACTGTATCAGTCGGAGAACTTGCAAGACAAAACATCTCCACCCTCACACTGCCACCAAGGGAACCACCGTGTCAAAAGCGAGGAACATAGTTGCATACCTTCTCTACTGGCAGTCACCGGGCCAACGGCTCCTGTCAGGAGCCGACGCGCATAGAACGAAGTCAGCCAGAGCCAGAGCCGTCTGACCGGATGGGAACCTCCAAGTTCCGGAAGCGATACAAGGCCAGATTTGACTCAAGTGCGGGCTTAGAAAGTTCAAAAGCAAACTTTCTAGGGGTTGATTCCTTTTCCATTCTTTTCAGCCATCGTTCTTTTTCAAGAACCGGATCCCTTTTACCTCTGGGTTTCCAGAGGTTTTCTGGAAAGAAGGATCCCTTGCTTCAGAATGGGGAAGGTATTCCTGACTGCTTGCCTACGATTCGTGGTCCATGGGGCCCAGCCCTTTGAGCAGAGGGATGATTGTCACCCCTTCCTTGAAGTTAAGACCTGTGGCAGGAATTGGTCCATTCTGCACGAATCATAGGGAGCTCAACTAGATGGTCTCAACCATGATGAAGTTCCTTGCGTGGCTAGAATTGTGTTTTGCAGTCTGGCAGTCTGTGACCAAACAGAGACTATGATGAAATTACCCATGAATTCCAGTTATCACTACAGAATGTATCCAGCCATTTTCCATTTATGTTTTAAAGGGTTCCTTTGGTTACCTACGATACAGGGACATGGTATTACTTGAACATTGAACAATTTGTTTCGGATTCTTAATTCAAGACCTTGACCATACCTCCCACCTTGTATGCGGGGCGCATTGAGTGCATCCTGTTGGATTGTTTTCTGGGAGACGAACCGCGCAACGGAGACTGCGGGCTCCCGTGCTATGTGAGTCCTTTCTTTTCCGAGCCATCGAGCATGGGCAATTTGAGGGCATATGCCCTCGTTCTTCACTTTCCATTGGGACACGTCATTCAGTCCGAGTGACCTCAGTTTCGGCTTTCGAAAAGGGTTGACAAGAGTCGACCACCCTGAACAGCAAAACCTGCACATAGGTATCCTCTGTAGGTTGGTTTGCCATCCATTTCGCCGGGAATTCCATCTGGAAACCAAAAAGACGCCTAGCTGCAGTGTGTGACTTCCGCCCTGCCCGCCCAAAATCTACGTTTCCGTGCAAGCAGAAATGGGCAGGGAATCTGTTTGCTTTCTGGCTGAATTCGGGGACAGTGGCTTTCGAAGGCTCTGGCGTCGTTTGCGCCAGGCGGTGATGCGGAATTATGGCCCACTGCCCTGGGACCGCAGCGGACCCGGACGAAGCCCAAAGCTCTCGAAAATTCTTGGCTCACCCCGTTGGACTAGGGGCTATGGGCCATGGGCCCTCCCAGGAGAACTTCCGTTTGATCCATCTTGTCAAAGGTCTATATATATATATTATTTATATGTTATTTATTTATTTATTTATTTCTATATCTATAAGCTTGGCCCAATTCTTCTGTCGCTAGGCAAAGGTTCTCTTGTGAAAATGTTGTTTTTTGTTGTGCGCCCCAAAAACCGGATTTACCCACCAAACTAAAGCTTTGCGAGCCCCTGGCGTTGCCCCCAAAGAAAACACGGCCCTTTAAAGGATCCGAACATGTCACGACAGATGTTTAAAGGGCCGGTGTCGCGATATGGGTGGCTCGTCTTTTTTAAGGTTGGACACCCCAAAATGGTGGTTTTTCTGTTAGCTTCTCTTTTAAACCAACCAAAAAGGGATCCTGTTCACAAAAGACACGCCCACTGATTTGATCACAGGTCTCTCAAACCTTTTTGGCTTTCGCGGCTGGCCGCTTCGATACGACGTGGAGGGTGCCGTCGCTGTTTGAAACAGGGATCCGATGGGGTCCAAAGGCCGGGCTTCTGCACCGAAAAGGGGTCCCTTGTCTTAGTCTTGAAGCGGCCAACCTCTTTTTAAAAGTTGGGACACGAGGCCAGATTGCTGGGCTGTAATTTCGGCCAATCCGGTGTTCGCCCGTTTCCCAGTTGCCCAGTGGTTTCCGACGATTCTTTTGTCCACTTTGTTTGGGAAGGGTTCCGATTCCTTGAAACTCAACGAACTGAGAAGGAGATCATCGAAAGTAAATGATGAATTAACACTCCCAGATCTCCTTCAGTTCCCAATGATACCGCTTCCCTAGGTTTGAGACTCTCCTTTTCATGGAAATCCAGGCCGAGGTTTGAGTGAAATTGACTCCCCAACGATTCAAGGATGGACGCCACGGGTGTACAAGTTCCGGAGCGGAAAGATCTGGCAATCGTTGGGAAGCGAAGCTAAGACGAAGCCTTTTCGGAAGATTTGTCGGAAATCCGATAAATTGCAAAGTTGGAGGAAGTCCGAATGTGCTTTTCCAAACGAGGGTAGAAATCCGCGCAGAACAATCCCCGCCGAAATCCCCTGCTCCCAATACCCGAAAGGGGGCGCCAGTGTTCCAAGTGTCAGCTGCCTAGATGGCCAAGTGGGGCCAAGTGGGGCCCCGCTTTTTTTCAGTCACTGTTGCGCTCGGTTTTTGGGGGTAAAGTGCATGGAAAAAAAGCGATCGCAACTGGTGAAGGTGCTAATCTAAGAGCATCTACCCTCATGTCCACGTTACCATAGGTATTGGAAAATGGTCTTCCAGGACCGCGGAAACGTCAGATTCCATGTTGATGGGCGGGAGGGTATGGAGTCTGCTAAAATGGTATGGGGCTCAGCTCACCAATTTGATTGGGGGTTTGGGGCTCATCATCCGGATCCAATTCTTATAGGCCTCATCGAACTTCCTGACTGGACCTGGGCACTTGATTTTTTATGTCTGGGGGTCTCCCTTTCAAGCGCAGCACCTTTTGGTTTGGATGGGTGGTTTGGGGATTTGCACCCCTTGGGTAACTGGGAAGCCACCCCAAGCCACCAATCCAACCCAAGCAAAAGCTGAATTTGCATGGGTAGCCGGACTGGGAGAATCCCCGGCGACGAGTTGGCTGGACAGCTGAAATTGTATAGCCGGACAGGGAGAATCTTGGGTTGATGTGCTTCCCCGGCCAAGGTGTCGAAGGCATGACGAGTTGGCTGGACCCGGCAAACAAGACATGGCAGGCGCCAATTTTGTCCGATCCGCGGCGCGTTCGTCGATTACGAACTGCGGGTCTCCCATGGATTTTCGAGGTCGAACCCAAATGCATTTGCAAAACGTTCATCCTACCTGTTTCCCCGTAACGAGATCTTCCCATGTGAATGTTGCCTAAATAACACTGCCCTTGCAAGCAATGTGGCTGGTCTACAAGAAAGCAAGCTTCCATTGTCTTACAAGAATATGTGTGTTCCTGTTTTTTTTAGGGAGTCGATGTCACTACTGACTCATGTTGTTGTTTTTGTTCAAGGGGCTTCAGCAAATGGAGGCCAAGAAATGCACTCAACTGCCAGGTTCACCAGCGCGCGTGTTTGGAAAGTCGCGTCTTCGCTTGGAATCTGATTTCGGAGTCCATTGGATACATGGATCACCCAAGCGCTGAAAGCGTTTTTTTCCTTCCTTTTTCATTGGGCAGTGAGGAGGAAGTTGTGGCGGTTGTGGGTGGGTAGGAGGTTGGGAAGTTGTGGGTTAGAAAGTTGGGAGGACGGCGGTTTTGAGGGATGCCCGAGGAGCTAGGCCTCGACTCGGCGGAGAGCCAGACAGTGGTGAGGCCGAGCTTGGACGCGGGAGCTTGGGGGAGCCCGGCTAGCTACCTGCCATCCGAGTCTGCCCGGGTTTTTAGCCCGTTTTTGGTTTTGGTGGGGGGGGGGGGTTGCGCATTTAACCCGCAAGTCAAACTTTGGGCAGGCAATCGGAAAAGAGCAGTTACTTGGTGGTTTGGAGGTTTGGTGGCTTCCCCTCTCTCTACAGGAAGGGGTGGAAGCCCTCAAACTGCCAATCCAAACCACGAATCTTGACTGCTATTGGGTATGTATTTTTTAGACTTTAACTTTTTGGTTGAAACAAAGGTGTTTTCCACTAAACCCCCAACAGCAACCAAGCAATGAGCAACAGAAGACTGATCCCTTGTGGTTTGCTTCAAGGGGCTCAGGTGGCCCCGAAAACCCATTGGCGCCGAGAATTCTTCAGAGATTTTGGGTGGTCTGGGTGAATTTTAGCCATTTTGGCTCAAGATTGAGGCTCGAGGGCCACAGCTGCATGTGTGAGATTTGAGATTTTGTGTCCTTTAGCACTACTGCGACCGGCCGTCTACTTGGCTAGGCGCACTGGCGAGAGCTCATGGAGCTGTCAGCGGTGGAGATGGCCGGCATGAACAAGCTCCATGATGCGGCGCTCTGGGCTGGGCTGGGAGGTGCTGCCAGGCAGTCACTCTTTGGCCTGCTGGGCGTGGAAGGCACGACGCCGGTTCGCAACATCGGGATCATCCCAAAGCATGATTTTGCGACCATCGTCAGCACCTGGACCCTCCCAGCGCCAACGCCAGACGTGCCTACAGCCACGGTGCCCCCCACTGCCAACCAAGTCGGCCAGGCCGGGCTGTTGGGACGCGCGTGCAGGGTGAAATGTGGCACAGAAGAAAACCGATTGGGAGCTTCCTCTTCCGATTCTTCTTTGAATGCCATGGGGGCACCTGCCAAGAAAGCAAAGCTTAGCAACGTCATCTATCAAGCCAACGATGCAGAAGAGGCTCTGCTTGACAAAAGCGAAGTTCAGAAGGCCTTTAACAGATACAAGAAGGCCTTCGGGGACCCCCTGCAGAAGAAGAACCAACCACTCACCAGATTGCAGCTCTTCAGGCTGTGTGCAGTGCAGATGGCCCGCCATTTGTTGATTTTGCTGTGTGGGGGCCTCATGGTCACCGCTTACTCAAGAAACTGAAGCTGAAAGGTCTGCGCATCAGTCTGACAGGGGGTCTGACTATGGTGGATATTGCCGGGCCAGCTACGGTGGAGCAATGGGAATCGAACTTCTAAGTTTTCAGATGTGATGCTGGATGTGCTGACGCCAGCTCGGCGCGAGGCCTACCTCACCCTCATCAAAAAGTACCACACTCGCTACGGCCCTAAGTGCTGGCACATAAACTACCAAGCAGAGGTGCGAGCAAGGCAAGAACAGAGGGAACGCTGCAGGCGCATTGCGGCCGATGAGCATCGCAAAGCCGTTGCGGCTGGGATGGCTAACGAGTGACCCGGTGAAACCGTGGGAATACTCCATGCGGCTCCTGATCGACAGCACGAGGTTCTGGAAGGACGAGTTGGAGGACCCGTGCATGCTGGTCCCCACTCGCCACGCCAGCGCTGGCAGCTTTGTTGAGGCCGAGGCGGACAAGAAGCAAGCTGCCGATCTGAGGAAGCAGCCCGGCGCGAAGCTCAGGCCCGAAGACAGAAATCACAACGTGTCGGAAGGCCGGTACACAACCAACCGGCGTGGAGTGGCGCTGTGCGAGGGTTACAACACCGTTGAATGCAAGGAGGTGGACCGATACGGGCGATGCTCCAAGGACTTGAGTCGGGTGCATCAATGCAACCGATGCCTGTCGATCGAACATGCTGGGGTGAACTGCGACAAAGCCCCTCCTGCAGACCATCACCGAGGCAAAGGCAAGCGGGGCAAAGGTGCTGGGAAGCGGAAGTCTAAGTGAGCCACTGAAGCTGACTTGCCTGAAACTGAAACAGGGCGTATGAATCCGCAGTTTGTGGATGAGGGCTCTACTTTCAGGAGTAGGGATTTGAACATGTGGTTCGCCCATTTGTTTTCTGGCCCCGCAGAGAGCTCTGATGGATTTGCGGCGGAGTTGGCTAAGCGAGGTGTCAAGCGCATGGAATTCGATATTCTCAATGACCCGCAAGAGCAGAACTTGCTGGATGAAGATGTTTTCTGGAAGCTATTGAACCAAGTTCGGGCGAGGAAATTTGAGGGTCTCCTCATGAAGCCTCCAAGCGTGACATTTTCTGCCTATGTTGCTGACGGCGACCCTCTCCGAAGACCGTGGGGAAAGGGTTTATATGGCTGCTCTGGTCTTGGCTCCGTAGAGAAGACCAAGGTCCGCGAAGGCACGCTGATGGCCTACAGAGCCCTCAAAATTTTCGAATCTGCAGTTGAGCTGGACATCCCTGCGGTTCATGTGCATCCTCTAGAAAGAGAAGACCACGCTTCAACTGGGAGTGTCTCTTCGAGACTCAGGAGATCGCCCAAGGTTCGGTGGACACTCCATGACAGTACCTGAGTTCCATCGGGTTGTTGGCAAGGTGGGTGTGACCAGTGATCAATGAAGAGTTTGCTAGAGCGTCTACTGAAGGAAACCTGTATCAATCGCTGTCCCACGGGACAAAGGAAGATGTGGTTTCCGGAGCGGTAGATAGGCTTCGCAAGCTTCTTGAGGCTCAGATGGCTGATCAGCAAAAGGTCTGGGCTGAACTGTCCGCGCTGCGGAAACAGTTTGAGGGGACCGTGAATGCTGAGAAAATGAGCTTCATCATCAATTTGGAATCTAAGGTTGGCCACAAAGTGGCACACATGTCTTTCGACTTGCCCGCAAGGGATTGGCGGTTGCTGAAAGCAGCCAAGCCACAAGATACCGCTGAGATCATGGCCAACTCTCGAAAACCAGACAGCGCGGGCGGGTGGGGGACAAGCGATTGCGAAGATTGTTGGCTTCCCTTCTCTCTACAGGAAGGGGTGGAAGCCCTCAAACTACCAATCCAAGCCACCAATCTTGACTGCTATTGGGTTGGATCTTTAGACTTTAACTTTTTGGTTGAAACAAAGGTGTTTTCCACTAAACCCCCAACAGCAACCAAGCAATGAGCAACAGAAGACTGATCCCTTGTGGTTTGCTTCAAGGGGCTCAGGTTGCCCCGAAAACCCATTGGCTCCGAGAATTCCTCAGAGATGTTGGGTGGTCTGGGTGAATTTTAGAGCGACCTCATACGACCGAATTCACCCCAAATGGTGGCTTATGGGGAATGGCCCCAAGCAAGCAATTAGGCTCTTAGTTGCCTTCTTCCAATCAGGAAGTGATTGATTGGTGCTTTTTGGGACTCAGGTCAGACCATTCTGGAAAACGGCGTGGGGGTTTCACATTGATCTCCTGAAAAACTCACGAATGGAGGCAAGTGTAGCACGGATCATTTCTAAAACACAGCTTGGATATGGCTTTTGTGGATCCCACCCCAGTAAGAGTTTTGAACGACAACTAAAATACTACTAAAAAGGGTGAAGAACATGGGAAATCCACGAAAAAAAGCGCAAATCCAAACCAGGGCTGTGGGAAATGGAATCCACTTCTGTGCAACAAACAGGGCCTCCCATATAAAGATGGGGTTCCCTGGTATCACAGAAGTGGTGATAAACCCCTTCCCACAACCCTGATCCAAACCGTTTCTTGCGATTGTTGCAGATCGGGCAAGAATCATTTCCTTTTGCTTGCGGAGCTGCAAGTGGCACACGGATCCAAGCAAAACGGCTCTGCAAAGAAACATGGAACCCTTGCCAGGGGTTTGCCGGAAAGCCCAAGAATGCAAGTTGTTGGGGGCGTCCATATGAATTTACATGACTGTATGTTGTCTATCTGTTGCCCCAGAGAAAGACACAAACCTCGTGCCTCGTGACTGAATTGGAAGTGTCTGCAGTCCTCCGAAACGAATGTGTGTGTGTGTTTCAATGGGAACCCCCGAAAGTATGAAACCGGGGTTCATGGATTTAGCAACATAAATGCTGGCGAAGTCTGGCAACACGCCTGGCCCAGTCACACACGGCCACAGGGAACCGCCTCAAAAGTGATCCACGAATCCCCACCATGATGTCCGCCATTTCGGGCCCTGGACCAAATAAATTGCGGACCCACAGGAACTTCCATTTGCTGAGATGAATATGTTGTGATGTTCCTTTGGTTGAAAGGGAATCTATCACAGCTGGAATATTTGCTCCTTTTTCCAGTGGGCTTAAGCAAATGGAAGGCCATTTAATTACAAGGGGCCACCCATGTTTCCGATGGCTAAAGATTGCCTTGGGAGACCAGCTGAACGATGGAAGCCCCAAGTATTGCAAGTAGAGAACATGGACACCCTGTTGAACCATGGTGTGTGACTTGCAATATGCAGGGCATCCACTGTAGGCCCTCTTTCCTTCACATTCCTTGAGTGCAAGGTAAAACTTTGGCCCGTTTTGGACCCCAAGAAGACCGACCAAGACCGACCTCCTGGCTTGCGGTCTTCTCTTTCGGGCCCAAAGGCCCCTAGAGTTGATTCGATGCTTTGGTGAACAACCTGTCGGGCTTCAAAAGAGCATTGCAAGAACAACAACGCAAGTACTATGTCCTTCGATAAAAGACAAACTTACGTGCTCCCACCCCTTACAGCAAAACCCCCTTACTAAGGTTGCCCCCCCCCCCCCCTACTCCAATTCCCCACACCTCGACTACCACTGGAAGCCAATCGCACGAGAGGCTGATGGCAAAGCTTGGTGTGCCCCTTGCTCAGTTCGCGTTGGAGCTTTCTGCGTGCTTTGGAGTGGTTCGGGGGTTCCGGAAAATCGCTTCCGGCGCTGTTGGGATTACCACCTGGGCCGTGGGCTGATAATAATAATTATAATAATAAATATAATATATACACATATCATTATTGTTCTCATTTACTATTATTACTGTTATCATTATTATCAGTATTTCGAATTATTCATTATTGTTATGGTTATCATTATTATTATGTTGATTATCATTAGCAGTATCATTGTCATAATCATAATCATAATCACTATTATCATGACAATCATTATTATCATTATTATCATTATTATCATTATTATCATTATTATCATTATTATCATTATTATCATGGTTATCATTATTATCATTATCATTATGATTGTTTTATTTGTATTGCTATTTTAATTTTGCTGTTGTTGTTGTTTTTGGGGGGGAGGGGTGGGGAAAGGCACTCTTTCCCTGTGAATCCGTCAAGACATTTAGCGGGGGCAAGACAATTTTTACTGTGAAAGTTAATTTTTACCGTGGGCAGTTTGTTTTTACCGTTGCCGTTGCCGTTGCCGCGAAAAGTTAATTTTTAGCGGGGAAATTGCCGTGGCTGTTGCCGTGGCTGTTTGCCAAGGTGCAGTAGCTTCGCAGTAATTACTTCCAAACTACTGCGAAATTATCTCCAGCGCAGTAGTTTCGCAGTAGTTAGTTCCAAACTACTGCCAAACTACTGCGGAATTAGCTCCAGTGCAGTAGTTTCGCAGTAACTACTTCCAAAATTGCCGTTGCCGTTGCCGTTTTTGTTGCCGCGTTTTTTTTGCCGTTGCCGTTGCCGTTGCCGAGAAAGTTAGTTTTGCAAGTCACTTAAGAAGTCACTAGTTGCCGCGAAATGGGAATTGCCGTGAAAGTTAACTTTTACCGTGGGACTCTCTAATTGTCTTGACGGATTCGTTGGGTTGGGACAAATGCGACGCAGGAACACCCATTTCGATGGTGTTTCCCCTGAGACAAAGCCAAATTGATGTCTTTTCACGGCAGGGATCATGGGCAGGTGCCATCATTTTTCCCGTGGCGAAACGATCTCGACATATTCAAATCCAAACTCACAGAGACACCAACGTTCTCATGTGCAGTGCTTGCAGGCGTTTTGCCACTCTTGTCGGCTTGCAACCCTTCGGGATCCTTACCTCTCACTTTTACCATGGCTGGTTTCCCCTGCTTCGCCAACGTTTTGTGGCCAAAGGCCGAAGCACTAAGTGCAGCATCCGACTTCCCGGGCTGAGCAACAGAACCTTACGGCTCACTTTCCAAAATCTCAGTGAGGGAGCCGGGTCGACTCCCTGGCTGTAACTTGGATGCTTGCCTCGGTCGGGCCCATGTTTGGGAACAAGCCAAGCCATTTAATTAAGAGTATGTTGTTTCATCTTCTGAAGAACTAAGCTGGATGTTTGTTTTGTTCCCTCGGGGACGAACAACTTGCTATATAGTTCTCAGCAGGGAATGAGTTGGAATGACCCTGAGAACAAATTCATCCATGGTTTCCTTTTTTTCGGGAACCCGAAACGGTTCATTTAACCAAAACCACCCCTATCAACTATCCATGCAGGTTTCCTTCAACGGAATCCCACAAGGTTCATTCAACCAAAGCCCGGACTCGTTTACATTATCGCGGCCGCTTCCCGGCCAAGCCGTTGCTGAGGATGAACCCTAACAGGTTGCAGGGCCTGGCGCTACCGGCGATTCTCTCCGCTGGCGCCTGAGACCACCGCGGTGCTTCTTCCGTGGGGAAAAGGCCCAAGATATGGCCAGGGGTCAAAATCCAAATCGTACCCCCCAGTAAGCATCCCAAATCGAACCACTAAAATGGGTGGTGCACCTACCCCAAAATGGTACCATTGGTTTGGACCCACAGCCATATGGAACATGGGATTGGCCACTTCCCATGATGCAAAAGAAAGCAATTGGTTTGGATTTGCGTTTTTTCTCCTGGGATTTCACCTGGTTTTCCTCTGCTTGCTGCTTTCTTAGTAGTCTTTTAGTACTCGTTGATAGGTGGATCCACAAAAGCCAAATCCAGGCCGTTTTCTACAAGAGCAACCAGTTTTTGCAAATTCTGCCAGTGGCTGGTGACGCGGTGCAATTCAGGGTGAGGATGTGATGCTCACCTC